TTATTAAAGAAGATACATTTCCAAGAGGTTTTGAAAACCGTTTGGGTTGTTTGAGACTCATATATTTGGGTTTGAGGAAAAAATTCAAATCTCATGATTGGTGGGTTTCTGAGACACCCTGCAGGAATGTACACTTTTCAACCCTAGCTAGGGTTAGGGTTAGAGATCCCACACGACGTAGAAGTTTTTTACTGTCAGTGCTGCATTCCGGGCCCCCAGTTATCTTTAGGATGATTGATAATTTGCTCCTATCTGCACTTTTAGTTCGGACACTTTTGGCCACCTTTCAGTATATTGCCCCATTCACTGATTTTATCCCAAAAGTGAGCCAGATGAAAAGTGTGAAGAATACCTGTTCTAAGGGGTAAACTGTCTTCATTTTGTCATTTAAAGTGCAGCTAGAAGTTTATCTTCGGACACAATTCTATGGTTCTTTTAACCCTAACCCTAGCCAGGCATTAAAAGCATGCCGATGTATGTACCATTTGAAGCATGTAGGGTATTGGAATGTTTTGAATATTTATTGTGTTAGATATAAGTGTCCACAAGTGATTTTCCAGTATGTGAACTGCTTCATTGAGGGTGTTGAGTTGTTTTCATGTTCTAGTAACGGGAACCCGTAGTATTGGTTCAGCATTATAAAGTTCTTTTTTGAATGAAGTAACATAAATTAATCTCCTTTTTCCTATTCCCACCCTTGAGAAGATATTGATAAGAGTAGCAGAAACGGAGCAAGTGCTTCTTTAATGAGTGGTTTAATTAGATGGGCTTTACTTCAGCCCATTTATATGAATTATATTTTTTATCCTTAGTTTATATATAGAGAGTGGGTACATTTGCGTTAGGAGTTACTTTTTTCAGTTGTTTTATTTACGTCTTTTTATGGCAGGTTGTAATAATTAGTGAAATTCTGGGTCTTGTTGCTAAATTTTTTTGTCATTTGCTACACTTGTTTTTTGTGCGGAGGCTATTGATGTTGCCGTGCAGAGTATGTCGCATCTAGCTCCATTTCGATTGCATTATCTGAGCTGCAGAATTTTGTTTTTCTTGTATGCCTTTCAAACTGACAGGTTAAATAAGTTGTTAGTCTGGCCGAGCAGTTAGTCATTTCATCGACCCGCTTCGGAAAGTGTTTGATAAATAACCATCCTCTCTGTGTATATCATCATGAAGGATGCGATCCTGGACTGAAACCAATTATGGTCTATTCAGTGTTTGATACTTAGTGCGACTTATTGTATGGAATTATCTCTGTGTACAAACATTCAAATAATTGATCATACATTAGCTCTTATCACGCAGCACAATGTAAAATGTCAAAAATCATTTTGATTGCATTCTGAGCGCATTTCAGGGGCATTTTATAGAGTATGACACCACATGTTCTTTACTTCTTTAATGTACCTTTTTACTTTGATTGCAAAAGGTACACAGGATCTATTAAAATTAAAATTAGTTGTTTTGCTATACTTTGACTTTTATTTGTAACTTGTAAAAATAAAGATAATGTGAAAAGAGGGCAGTACTGTTATTTTACTAAATATTTTTTGTATGTGCTCTCATAGCAAAGCGAAGGACACAGTAAACATTCTCAAAGCGTGGCTTTTTTTTCCTTTTTTTCCATCCCAAAAGATGGTTTGTTCTTTTACAAATTATCTGGTTATATGTGATACCAATAATCTTGGAATCTTGGAGCCTTCTATCATAGGAATTTACTTCAGCATCAAATGCTGGATGCAGGCTATGCACAGGTTGCTGCCATGTGTTTGGAAATGTAAAAAAGCCTCTATGCTTCAGGTAGTGTTGTCCATCAGTTGTACATTGGACTCCCTAAACAATTGTATATTAAGTGCTTCAGGTAGCTGCTAGACATGAGTGATCACGTTTATTGGACCAGAGAGAGCCTGATCTAGAAAGTACTGGCTATGGAATCAAAACGTGACAGGACTCTTTTATGGGAAAGAGTAGTTTTAATGACTGCAAAAATGCAATTTTGGCTTTCTGATTGGCTGGGCTAAAGAATATTCCAATTGTGTTATTATAATAGCTCATTTGTACAGTTGGATTTTGTATGCAGATGCAGAATAAAAAAAAAACTGCACACTGCATTTTGCAGGGGTCCCTTAGAATCTGAATATGAGTCTTGTACAACACATAAACACCAACTTAATTGTCAAAAGCTGCAATACATGGACAATTGTGCTCTAGTTCTCTAAGTGCCAGACTTTCTCTAAGTTAAAATTGTTGATGCAATTGTCATGTGATAGCCTATAGTTGCAGGTACACACATAGGTCAGGAACTGGTTAATGAACAGGTGTACTGCAAGAACAAGTAATGGTGTACTGCAGGGATCAATGATTCTGAAATAGTTCAGAAACTAGTTATTTGAGCATGGTACAAATAGGGGAGTGGCAAGTATAGAAACAGCAACAAGGGAGTTTAAAAAAAGATACAATTGTGGATTCCAAGACTTGGGTAGTGAAATGTAATGTTGATTATTGCAAAGTAACACACAGGAAGTAGAAACCATTGCTATGCATATAATTATTCTGAGTTTCGTGAAGCTCCTTGTGGAATGAATTTGGGGTGCTGAGTACACTCTTCCATGTCCCGATCAATGTGGGGAAGCAATGAAAATGCAAAAAAGAATGCTTATGAATGTAGTAAAAACTTTAGAATTAAAATGAAGGGAAGTTGTGTTTAAACTTACCAATGTATAGAACTAATAAAATCCAATTTAAAATGTTGTGTTTTTGGCATTGTTCATAAATATATATATCTTTAGAAAGACTTCAAAGAGGCTCAACAAGAATTATTACTAGTTTCAGTATATTGTCTTATACAGACAGGTGGAAGGAGCTAATTGTCTTCTTTCCAAAATAAACACAAGCAAGGGGAGACTTTATTATATGAATTTAAACCTAAGGGGGTGTACGGTAGATCAGCAGTGAAACATTTAGGGCAGAGAATAATAACAAACCCTGGGTGTTAGGGACAGCTAGGTGATTCTGTTCCACACTATAGGCTCTTTAAAGAAACGAAAGACCGTACTCATTTGCAGTTATTTGTATTTTATGGTATTAATAAGCTAAAGCATGCTTTAAATGTTCACATCTTCAGCCATGAATCAATATTGAAAAACCCTTCTTATTTTTGGTTTGATTAGTAAGAAATAAAGCAATATTATAGCGATCTTTTACGATTTATTATAACTATAAATGGTATATGTAATATAGACAGATAATAGAATAAGAAAAAAAATATCAAATGACAATCTAAAGAAAGAATTACAGTGTTGAGATTTTCAACCTTTACAGTAAGTTAAGCAAATGTATTTTGTTACTTTGCAAGATTAAATAAATTTTTATATGACTTTAAATATAGTTTTTGATTCAGTAGCATGATTTAAGTTTCTTATTCAATGAAAAGACATTTTTGAA